GAAGTTTTTTGTTTGGATCTGTCCTTCTAAACGTGTCAAACATATTAGCACATGAGTAGAACTGTGGCTCATACTAACATTCCTGGGAATAGGGCCTGAAGTCGTGAGTATAAATTCATGTTTCTTCATCTTCCAGGACTCACTAAGACATTGAGTTCTACTGAGGCCAAAAAGAGAATTTTTTTAATCTTTTTTTTTTTTCCCTATACATTTCTCTGTTCTGTTTGAAAACCTAGAGATAGGGTCATAACTATGACTAAGATCATGGACTGGACAAAGTTAGATTTATTTGAGATCTGCGGTGTCTACCTGCCACGGCCCCAGATGGGTGGAAGGGTTCAGCTGGCACAGCTCATGTGGGGACACATGGCCGCCACGAGAGCGGCACCTCAGGGAGAATCGTCTGCCCCGATGGTGCTGAGTGCTGCTCATGGGTGGAGCTTGGGCAACTCTGCACGCTGAGAGGAGGTGAAGGGGTGAGAGAGGACACTTGTATGCCAGCCCAAAGAGTCCTTTACTTACCCAGGTGGAGCAAGAAAGGTGCCCTCTGGGTGGGTGCAGTGACAAATGCCGAAGAAATCAAAGATTACAGCAACTTAAATAGGGGGTGGGCGGACAGGGGTGAAAACCTGTCTTGCCCAATGGGGATAAACCAGAGAGGGATAACACCAGTTACAACAACCTATGATAATGTAGCAGGGGTAGGCACAAGGTCAGGGGACAAATAGAAAAGCTAAACTGGAGTGATTGATGCAAAACTTTCTGGAAGAAATTGGGGGTGGTTACAGGATTGACAGCCAAAAGGGTATAAACAAACTCAGATTGATGGAACCAAATGAGGATAAAACAGGGAGAGGTGAGAAGATTGACAGATAACTGGGGAGCCAAGTGGCGGGAAGCTTTGGGGTAAACAACTTGGATCAAACCAACTGCAGAGGGACAAATGGGGGAGCATAAAGGCTAACTAACATTGATAAAACCAACTAACAAAATCAAACCACACTGCAACAAAGATCCTGTGAAGTTCATGAGCATATTCCTTAGTGAGTTGGAAACTCTTAATAAAAACAGCAAATCCTGAAGAGACAGTTTCATTATTTGAATCTGTATATGATGCCCATCTAGAATGAAGATTTCAGAAATAAAAAAAATGGGCTTTTAATTTTTTTTATGTTGATTAGTTCTTATATTTTGGGCTGTGGAAAGGTGCAACTAAAACCACCAGGTTTAAATATTTTAAAAAATCTTTGGGTGAGGTAGAAGACAATTTCAGGAAAGGAAACGGTTTGTATTTTATTATGGTCCATAGAGGAGATTCTAGTTACATTCAGAATAAGGATTTTGAGTAGAGGAACTTAACAACTCTCTTACTGATGCCTCCTATTGTCAGGTCTGCCTTTAGAAGGAGGAAGGCTGGTTCCAGAAAAAAAAAAAAAAAACATAGATTATTTTCTGTTTTCCTGGGAACTGGTTCTCTGGTATTTATGTATAGTAAGTGAGAGCAAGTTTCAACAGAGAAAGCAGAAGCTGCAGAACTACACAGCCTGTTGGGTGCAAAAGCTCTTCCAGTGGAGATTGAAAGGTTGCCCTGAAGAGAAGAAAAATCTGTGGGTTCTGTCCAGGCTAGGTTTGGAACTGCAAGTATGGTTTGGAAAGAGAACAGCTAAAGAAGGTTAAGTTGGCACTAGATGATAACATAAAATGAAGGAAGAGTTTCATCCAATGAAACAGCATATATGGATCCTGGGAGAAGTGTTACTTCAGAGTAAGGATTTGTTCCAGAAGGAAATAATAATTTGCATATTATTTTGTTCTTTATAGAGGCTACTGTTAAGGTTTGATTAGGTATAGGATCAGGAACCTAACAGAGGCTTCACAGTTTTACTGAACTGCACTGAGAACTGGTTTAAAACCAAAGTTGTCTTCTCTCAACAAAAGTCCCCACTGAGCACAGAAATGAAACTAGAGCTACAAGTGAGAGGGCCTGAAAGCACCCATTTATTCACTGAGCCTAAAAAAAAAACTAAAACAGTAAATGTGGCTCATAGTTCTCTGGTGCAAATGGTCTCTGGCTCGGTTTTACTACTCAGGCTACCTGTTGCATTTAAGGTTATGACTGCACATAGCAGGATAAATGTTTAATAAGATCATACTTTTTCATCTTGCAAGAATCTGGTGGATTCCATTAATTACTAGTGCCTTCATTACCTTGTGAGGGCATGATTTTTTGATTTGTTAGATTTTGGACAAGATCAGATGCACTTTTGACCACAAAAAAATAAGGGCTAAAAGCTGCTTAGCCTTATTTGGATTTAATAAATCTAGGTCATTTATTTTTGTCATTAGGTTTTTGTCATTTCAAATAGTTCACATTTTCCAAGGTAAATAGACTACAAATTCATTAACTTCAAGGTGTCAAGTGGATGATCTTTCCAGGTGAATTACTGCCATTGAAATATGAAACAGATGGATAGGTCAAACTATTCTAGTAACTTAATGGCATTTGTGCTTTGAAAAAAGTTTTAAAAATATTTTATAAAAAAAGGTAAATCGAGACAGGTAATGTCTAGGGAGAACCCATAGGAGAAATTTTGTTTGATCTCTTTCTTCTCTATATTTTCATTAGCAATATTACATGGTGCTTGTTCCTTAAAAGAGGCAACATTATCTACTAAAAAGAGAAAACTGAAGGAGGCAATTTAAAAACAATTTCAATTACAAACATCCATATTTATTACTGGTGTGGTTTCATCCAACTTCTCAAATTGTCTCTTTAAAGCTATTCTTCCACATAAAAAGTAAGTGTGCATTACACTTCAGATAATGATGCATCAACATTTGTGACTTTTTTATCTTGGCAAATTAAGCCTAATTCTCAAGAGCAATGCCTTGAAGAAGTTAATTTTATAACTACAATGCTATTTTAAATCAGCTTGTAGCAGAATTTGAATCCTTAAAGTGTATTCACTAGAAAAGGCCAAACACCAACATCAGGCCCCTAAACATATTTAATAGATAAAATTCTGGTATTTGTTGAGACTTTTTTATATCATCATCCAGGGAGTGATCCAGTTCATCAGCAATCCCACTTTTATTAATCTTACTGTCAGCTGGAGTAGTGTCATTTATAATTTGTCTTTTTCTGTTGTGAATTATGGAGTTAGAAAGGATGTGTCCCTGACTACCATTTCATATCAGGTCCCAAGTACATTCAAGACTTTTTTGTCTCTTTTTCAGTGTCAGCTCTTAACCATTGTAGTAAAAAGAATCGAATCAAAGCAAACAGGTATTGAAAAACCCACAAGGAGTCTGAGATTCAAAAAATCTGTTCATGTGGCTGCAGTCATGTAAATCAATCTAAATGCCAACATAATGAAGTACATATATGGTAAATGCAAATGATACTATTAAATAGGTACAGATTCAGGCTGATATGTAAAATTATAAATAGGTTTCAAAATGAATTAACTGTCTCTATGTTTCCCCTCTCGCAGTCATCTGCATAGATTCATTGCTGCAGTAAGACATCATTCTAGGTCTCACAGTGCTGAAATACGGTATCTCTTAGCATAAGAGAAACATAAATCTTACAAAGAAGGAAGCATAAATCCTATTAACTAGAAAAGCCTAAAAGATTGCGAAGTATCCAGGTAATACCTATTGCTCACAACCTAATAGAACCAGCATTTTTTCTCTCCTCACTTTGTCAAAGTGCAAAAGCCAGAGTAGCTCTTTCAGTAAACATTACTCTCTTGTTTAGGAAGACTGTCTGAAAGAAACTTGTTTCTAAGTCACTCCTCCTCCAGACTTCCAGTATCTTTCATTTCTAAAGGTGAATAAAACATAACCCTTGCCATCCTACTTCAACTATAGCATAGCTAGCGTAAATAAATATTTCCTGATATCAATAGAAGCACACACAGTAATACTGGCTATATGTTTTAGCATGAGCTCTCCAATAGCGAGAAATCAAGCAGTAATCAAAGGTCCAATCAAGCAGACTGCAGCCATCCATTGCAGCACTACAATGTCTCTCATGTGGAAATTACCTTCAATCAGAATAGGAGGCCAAAGTCTTTAGCATGAGCCCTGCCCTTACTTGACAAATCTGTATTTTCAAAACACAAGTCCCCCCCAGTCATTTGCAAGTGGCTGTTTATTTGGTAAGGTTATTGATTTGTAAAGTTCAATTCATCTAGTATTCCTGTATTATTGTAGTGGACTTTTTGGTCAACTCATTCACTAAATCAACAATCCAAAAGAAAAATAAATGTTGTCTTCTATTTTGTTACCTGACCTGAGTTTTCAGTGTAAATTTCAGATAGCTCTAAATTACTCCTGAATTGTGTCTCTCCAACAAGAGAACAAGGCCTTGGTGAGCCTATAAAAAATGCTGTTATGAAAAAATATTATTTCCTTATATATGGTTATATCAATGACATATTTTCTATTCATGTGTTTGACAGTATTTCCATTATTTCTTGTATTGTTTTCTTCTCACCCTTCTGTTTTCCACTTTTGATTAGATCCACAGTTTACGACAACATGTTAAAATACATATTTGGTTCATTTGAGAATAGTCAAATATACACAGAGTGTCATTGTTCCTACCTCTTCATCTTTCAAATACATGTAGCAAAGTATTCTGAAGGATCTTGGCCTAATTTTCCAATATCAGAGAAATACTCAGGCTATTCCTCTTGGACATGCAAAGGTTTCAGCTTCAGACTGATGACATACTGCCACAGATTAAAAGTCAGAGGACTCTTGAACTTCCTTCAGATTGGCTTTCTCATTTCTTATAAATAACCATTCCTCGCTTTCTTTGATGGACAGCTACACCATTATTTCCTCTGATTCTGAATCTTGTGATTTGCTAGCATTAGCAGAAAAAGCAGTGATAGTTAATTGTGACAAGAAAAGTGGGGAATCTCTGTTGAATGTGTAAGACTGACACTGCTTAAGTTTGATTAACTGGGTTTTCAGTTATTTCTCTTCCTTTCCTAGTTTTAACTGCACCAAGCAATACTGGAAACAAATCTACTGTTAAGCTTGTTCAATAATTCCCAGTATATAACCTTGCTTTGAGATGCTTATAACTTTGAACAAACCATTTTGTTCTGACTAACATTATTGTTCAGCCTGTTCCAGGGTGAGGTTTTTCTTTAAAAGTAAATAAAGTGGAAACTTATAATTCAGTCTTTCTTTGGTGCAAAAGTACAGGAGAAAGTGAAAAATTATGTGAGAAAAAAACTGTATTTAATCTGATTTTTAAAAAGGCAGGATTTTGTGCATGGAAAAAGTTCTAAATTAAAGGTCTTTATACAATTGGTCCGCTAGAATTCTCTAATTTTAGGATTCCTTTCCAAACTATGCTTAGTGTGTCTTTAAAATACAGAAAACTATTTGCATTCCATTATACTTTGTGGAGTTTCAGCTTGGCAACACTTCCCTAAGAACCTTTCTGCCTTTTAGCTGTAGTTAGCTGTCTTTTAGCTGATTTCAGTCTGTTTCACTTATTGCATGTCTGGTTTTGGCATTCAGTGGGATGGGTGGATGTCAGTTCTGGCCCTGCATAGGAATCGTTTAGAGTGAGGCTGCAATGCAACAGCTCTGCCAGATACACATAGACAGCAGGGACTAGAATGCCTTTCTCCCAGCACAGACATGAACACTTTAGATACTGTCTTAAGTAGAGACAATGAAATGATAGGTACCCACAGAAGGATCTCTGCCACCCACTCTTCAGATGCTGTCAGCTCCGAGAACAAGAATGCTCAGTGGAGGTACTAAGCTACTTGAAAAGTAACTCATGAGGTAAGTGCAGCACTTTCTATCCATTTATCATAATCCACTTACATGGGAGAAAAGACCACTTTGCTGAAATAAGTAATCAGTCAGGAAAAAATAAGGTATATATATATATATACCTTATATATACTGGATAATTAGAATGCTGTACATGCCAGGATATATTGAAATATATTTATATATATCAGTAAAAATCTCTTCACTTCTCTCAATTATGCATTCTTGTGTAAATAAAACCACATAAGTCTGAGCACTTTGCATTTGCCGGCACACAGAGAGAAATGTCTACCTATCTTCCCAGGTATAATATGTCCATTATGGCAGTAAGCACTGGAATACAGTATGGAACACAGCAGGCAGTAAGTGATGTGGTTTCTGACACGGAATTGTAGGAAACACTAGGAGGCACACTGCAACAACGACCCATACCTGCAGAAGTCATTGCAGCAAGAGTCATGCTGAACTGCTGGAGGCCTAGCTGCTTGAAGTGAAATTGGTTGTCCTTTAAACGGTTTCTTCTAAAACATAATTTCTTGGTTCTGGATAAGAAATAGAGTGGTAGGGAAGCATGTAACCCTTTTTTCTTTTGCAACTGCGTGAGCTGGAAGAGTTAGAGCCAAAATTCTGAGTCAAGAAAAATGATAAAATCATTGTGCTTTTAACTGCATACCATACAAATATTCTTCTGCTGTTCTTAAGACAAGATTAATTTACTGCAATAATCTCTTTTACACCTAAATACTGCTGTGGTCACCATCTAAGAGCTTTATAAATGATCCTTCAGGTCTGCAGTATAAGACAATTACCTCGGTGCAAATCAAAGCCTGCCAAAACTCCAAGATATACAGCACATTACTATTTTCATTTAAAGCCCACATCTGCAGCTTTTGCATATAAATTGTGCATCCACCAACTGAAATTGCAGATGTAGATATGTATTTTCCCTACTACAAATCTATAGAACATTTCAACTTGTGTGCAGTCCCAACTTTTGCATATTAAATTTGTGCACAAATTTTAAACGTTTGCCTACCTATCAGTAAGCTATGTAAAGCACATTCTACTGTGTGTAAATCAAAGTATATTTTTGAAATATCTAATAGCTATGATTAAGCTAGTGCATAGCTCCAAGCCAAGTTCACAGATAGCAATATTTGTGCCAGTAATCTACTCAAGGGTAAATACAACCAAGTTATGAATGTATTTCTATATAAAGAGCATTGATGCTCTGAAGTATAATGAAAAGCCCAGCAGAAGCTGCAGCACCACTAATGAAATAACTGGGCTCTCAAGAGAAGAACGGGAGACAGATATAGTAAGAGACTGAAGCTCAAAGAGAAATGTGGGTGATATACCGAGTTTTCAAGGGAAAAGAAATGATGAAGCAGGTAAAGACTACCTGAGATTCATGAAGGGAGTCAAATCTATGCAGCTGGGGACTAATTAGAAGGAGAAATTAATAAGTCTGTCACCAGTGCAGACAGAGAATCTGGAATAGCACTGTAACCACAAAAGTAAGGATATAAAATGTGGCTTTGAAGTTGATAGAAGGTAGGAGAAATTCTATAATTATCCTTTATCTATAATTATCCTTAATTATCCTAATTAATCTTGATTGCCTTCCACGATGAAATTACTGAGTCTGCAGACAAAGGGAAAGCGGTCTGTGTCATTTACCTTGACTTCAGCAAGGCCTTGGACACAGCCTCCCACAGCACTCTTGTAGGCATGCTGAATGGGTGTGGACAGGAAGGGCAAACTTCAAGGAGAGGGAAAAATTGGCTGGACCATTGCACTTGAAGTATTGCAGTCAACAGTTCAGCATCTAACAGGCATATGATTAAAACTGATTCTCCTCATTGCTCAATACAAGGACTGATACTACCAAATACATTTGGGAGTGGACAATCTTGTTATGAGCAACACTAAACAGAGGGGAACAGCTGATACACTGGAGGGGTAGCAGGGGACTTTGACAGATGGACAAAGAGCTGACCCGTGAAGGTGAAGAAAAGCAAAGGCAAAGGCAGAGTCCTGAGCCTGGGATGACATTAACCCTGAGCTGGAAGTGATTGGTTAGAAATCAGCTCTGCCAAAGGGCATGGGGGAAAGGAAATTGAACACAGACAGCAGTGCGCCCTAATGGCAGTAAAGAATAACAGCCAGCATTCTGGGCAGCAAAAGTGTCCAGGAGGTATGAGTGGCTATCTCCTTTCATTTTGCTCTTGTGAAGCTCCATCCAAAACAGCCTCCGGCTTTGGATGCTCCCAGCTGATTACTAGAAAGACCAAAGCGCATGACATGCAGAGACCAAAAGGAAATTATTTGTTCAGCCTGGAGAAAATAAAGCAATGATGGAGTAGGGGGAGGAGGTAATTCAGGTTGTTGCTTTCAACTACCTAAAAGTGAGCTGCAAAGATAGAACCAAACTTCGCTTCAAACTGTGACCAGGTGTAGCTTGTTCACGGTGAGAGGGACCAAGCTCTGGAACAAGTTCCCAGAGAGTTTTCCAGAGCTACATGCTTGGAAATTTTCACAATTGCTTCAAAATGTTTCTGATGAAGTTTTGAAACTGAGCTTACTTTAAGGAGAATTAAATGAGCTCCAAACATCCCTTCTGAAAAAATATTTCCACAATATTTTTAGGGTGGATATTAAAAGAAGTGAAGTCTGAAGTGGTTTTAGGGGACTGTTTATTTTCTAGAAAAGGATAGGAATAAGCAAAAGAAGAGTAAGGAGATTTATGAAGTTTGTTAGAAATGTAATCTGGGGACAGGATGATGAGGATGATGATGATGATTAATATTTATTTGCCTGTTGATTCCCACTCACTTAGGGGAAAGGAGCATTTTCCTAGTGATTTGTATGTTTGTGCTTAGCTATGAACTAGGATAGTCGGCCTAAAACCTAGATAATCAGTGGCTTTAAAAAATATAGCCAAAGAGCATAAATCTTTATAAAAATTTGTTCAATAAATAATTTTCAGCATTTTATTCAGACAAGAATCCAAGCCAAGTTAGAGTTCACAGGAATTCTTCAGATATGAATTTACATTCTGAATGTCTGAATCTTAAGAGAAACTTATGGGGAATTGATGGCACATCAGGTAATATGTATCTTCAAACCAAGGGTTTTCTTTGGTGAATGTAATATTGTTGGAGAAATTATTTGTGTAATAAATCCATATGTGTGCAAGTCCATCTAACCATCTTGACAGATTGTTTGATCAAAGAAACATTTTAGAAATTATTTAACATACAGATTTTCTTTTATGTATGTAGTTCTTTCTCTAAATATAGTAAGTGACTAATTAAAATTTGTATTTCATACATATTTATTGTATCTTACCATTTCTTGACTATAGGGGTAAACATGGGGAACTGGCAAGTGATACATTTCTCACATCTTATGATTATTAAAGCCAGATTATTGCCTATTCCATCAAGGTAATGGTAAAGATTGTATGTTAATGTAAAGTTGTCTGAAATATCTTATTCACTGACCAACATTAGGAAGTGGTTAAACAAACGGCATCCTTGCCAGAGAGTTTTGGGCGTGCAACATTGCATAAGTCCCTGAAGGGTCTGAGTCCTAAAGGTCTATCAGGGGCTTTGCAACAGAAAAGGTGTCTCTGCACCTTCTAATCAGACTGACTTCTATTGAATACTTGGAGCACCGAGTTTTTACAACCTGATTGTAGGAACGTATTACGAAGAAACATGGCATTTAAGAATATCACTGGAACATAATTTACGTCTATTTTCAATACACAGAGATAAGAAAAGCCAGGTAAACAAGATTTTAATAATGGATAAGAAGGTGCAGAAGGCAGGAGGATAAAAAAAAAAAAAAGCAATAATATAAAAATAAATTAGTGGTGTATAAGTCAGTTCAGCTTATGGAAGTTACTGAACTTAATTCATGTAGGAAATAGGATGATTTCTGAGAGAAATAATGTTCCTAGATTAATGCAAAAAGCCTGGACAACAAAGCGGAGAATAGTACAAGACATTATAGTGCTGTAACAGCTATAAAAGAAAAATAGAGCAATAGCAATCCTGATGGGAAGCAGATAAAGGCTTTCTTCAGAAAATCATAAATAAACATAAGGCAGTGTAGTTGCACTGTACATTAGCAGTGTGACAGAGAGTAAATAATAAAAATATGAAGCAATAGTGCAGATAAAGTAGAACTAGTTTATACCAAAATTTATTTTAAGGAAAGACTGGTCTCATGCCAGATTTTTCTAAAATGCTTGCATCAGATTTACATTCAGATGAAGATTTAATTTTATTACTATAGTGAATAAAAGATATCTGGACTTACATAAAAAAAAAAAAAAAAAGTCCCAGATGTTTCTCCATATTGCATTTGGCAAGCTTTCTTTAACAAAAAGTTATGAAGGCAAAAATGATGAGTCATCTTTGGGTCAGCAGTGAAGAGCTAGTCATACAACATGTTATTGAAAGAAGTTATCAGAGTTGCCTTAAATGATGTTTAAAATATGCACAAAAATTACATTTGTAATGAAGCTTCCAATTTCAAAATCTTGAACAGGAAAAATTTCTGGAAGTAGATAAAGTCTGGTTGTCTGGAAGGCTCAAGGAGTTATCCTCTGAAACCAGCAGCCTGAACTTATCCTTAACTTGTACCCCAAGTACTGTGAAAATCTCATGTGGAAAGTTCCTTTTCTAATGGAATAAATTGGTGTCTCAGAAAGGTTATTAGAAGTCAATGGAGAGCTAAAAAGCAAAGGGAAAGACTGACGGTTCACCAAAGAATGATGTAAAGACCTTGCTGTCCTTCAGAGCTCTCAGGACCTTCATTTCTGTAACTGCTGAGAAAATCAATTAAGGAAGGTGAAATGGTCATCGGTCTCTGTTCTGCCTCAATAGCTTCAGCTCTGAGAAGGTTGCCTTGTATCTAGAAGAAGCTTCCACTAAAGAAAGACTGGAGCATTTGGACCTGGTTAATGAAGTCTGAGGAGGGGAGTGAGACCATTTGGA